ACTTTTGAAGGCCTGTCACACGAACCATACAAACACTCGATGTTTAGTGAAGAACAATGCAATCATTCACATGACTGGACGCCTCATTTGAGAATTTGACTATCGAGCAGCCCATCAAAAAGTGACTACTTGATACAAGTCCCATGGTTGAAAGGTGATTAGCGGCATGAATGATGCATCCAGTATTTTTTTCTGGGAGTCTAATTGGTGATTGATTTCAGACAATTTCAAGCCACTCACCAAAACTTCCTTACTGGGTAGATAGACCATGCATAAAGAAAGCTAGTGCTCAAGTCACCCTCAGACGACGGAAGAATTTCTGGCTGATTCAATCGAATGCTGACGTCCTGTGGCGTTCGGACAGGTGACTTCGTTCGCTTCTTCTACATATGATCGAAGCCTCTTCTCAGTTAGCACACGGAAGATTAGTTTCATTGCCGAGTGTTCCCCATTTATCCCGGTCAAACACTGCGCGCACCTGAATACACTGATTTTTGAGTCCACCTCATATTCAATTACAATCGCTCACGAATATTTGACCCTCAACATGTCCAACCAGGTTTGACAAATTTTTCACCTCACTCGTTTGGACCATTTACATACTACGTGGTGTCCGCGTACGTTTGTCCCTAACACAGATACCTTCGCTGTTTCCCGCGGGAGTGTTTCGGGCTTGTGCCATTTCGGCATTGATAAAGCGGAATTCCCTATAATTTTCATGCTGGGTTATAATGATAAATTTCAAGGCTTCGCGATTTTTGTCTCGTGATTTCACTAGCAACCCCATTATATACCGCGGGTACCACCTTGTTCGTGAATGAAAACAGAAACAGAGATTATTGGATCCCTTTCAGTTTCCAATCTATGTGGACTGTAGCTCACAAACATACGCCAGAAGAAGAAATAAACCAAATTCCTGTCAGGACGATGGAATTTTGATGGACTTTCAACAGGAAGTCCAAACGCACGATAAATTTTGTGTGTGTGGTTGTAACTAGTAATCCATCGGTTTCTCATTGATAAGCCGTTTGTCGTCCGGGTGATTGGTGTGCATTTGTGCAACATGTCTCCTGAGAATATCTAATCGAGCGAAGGTTTGCCCGCATTGATCACACATGTAGTGACGTTGCTTTTCATGCACCGTGCTTAAATGACGATCCAAATTTGATTTCCGTTGGAAAAAGGCCCCACACTCCTCGCATTGTTGATGTGCTTCCTCATCGTGTGACCATTTCAGATGCTGAGACAGAGTCTTCCAAGTCAAAAAGCACTTTCCGCATTTGGGACATGGATTATCTCTTAGCTCTGATTCTGGCACTCGTTTACTGGATGTTCTACGAGGCTTCTTCTCTCCCGGAGAATGAAGTCGCCTCATGTGTTGCCTCAAGTAACGCTCATTTCGGAACGACGATTTGCACAAACTACACTGAGCACTGGCATTTTCAGCGTGCAGCTCCTGGTGTCTCTTAGCTGATGAAAGGTGACGGAAGGATTTACCGCACACCAAACAATTCTGAGGTACCGCGGGATGTGTTTCTTTACTCCGGTAATCCGGCGGATCAGCCCTGGGACAGTCATCATCTGTTCTGTGTGCTGACGGCGTTCTGTGTTCAGCTGCTGTGAAAAAGAACGGTGGTTGAGAAAAGAATAACAGTTTCACTAGATTTCTTCAACCGGCGTCTGGTGACATTCAAACCAATAGGCAGATGTGTAAGTTTTCGTTTAAACGCACACTAAATTTCCAGCGTTTTAAGAGACTTGGAAATTTTTAAGTGGGCCATTGTGCATTCGAAAAGCCGAGAAGAATTGCGCCGTAGTTTCCCCTTAGGAGCGGTGTAGGTTTCACGCATTTTCGGAGGGATACTGACACACGCCACTCATCAATCCAATACGTTGTACACCGTCCTCATGGGTGAAGTGTTTTCGGCTAACTCTTGATAACGATTGTGCGCCCAGCTGGATGGGACTCAGTCAGGGACGGTAAACAATCATTATTCGGAATGTTTTGTTCACACGGGAACCACTCGTTCTACACAAAATGTCCAAAATGAATAAACTATAAGAGACCTGCGGTTTAATGTCAAAACCGGTTGTAACATTGGTTAAACCACAAAGCATGATAATGATATCATGACGTTGAATACCGAGATAGCCAAATGATGATTTACGAATAGACCGTACAACAAGATATCCGAGGCGTCCGACAAAGAAATTTCAAAGCAGAAAAAAATTCATTTTATGAGCCCTTCAGTAAATCTGGCGATGCACTTTCATGGAGGCTTTCGGATGAAAAAAGGATGAACCAATAATTGAGCAATAACTCGACACCTTCGCTCAGGTCTTAGTGCCACGCTCTTCAGAGGAGTTCAACGTTGCGGTTCATGCTTTATAGACAGCGGACATCAACCAAGTTTTGTAGACTTTTGGAAGAATAAAAGTGACTTACACAAGGGAGCGTACTCGGAAAGCAGGTTGCCCAAGTTGCCAACTGAAAAGGTGAGAAGTAACTAAGCATGTCAAATGCAGCTAAGTTCCTGTGTTAATGTCGTTTTACACTGAATTCGTAAACGGTGAAAGGCCTCAGCGTGAATTCACCAAACGATCAAACTGATACTACCGCGAGTTTCACGTTGTCAATTTTCAACGCAAATGTAACTGAATGCTCATTTTTGGGTAGATGTATGTTCGACTTTTAAAATCCCTAAACCAACGGC